GCCAACGTGGACTTGAGAGGTATTGGGTCGTAATCCATGTGTGTGCCACGTGCGCTAACACAGAGATATCTGCCAAGACGGTTTTCTCAGCAAGAAATACACTGATGGTGGGTGGGATCTGGGGTATACTAAACGGATTTTGAAGACACGCTTTCCGTGTAGACCAGTAGAAGAATCATCAACGTGGAGATTGGCGGCGAGATGGCTGAAGTGGTTAGGGCACGTATTTACTGGACGGATGGACCGTGATTAGAACCCGACCCCTGCCTCTTGGCTTCCCCTGTCTAGACTTGGGCAACCTGAGAGAATCCCAGCCCTCGTGCTTCCTTCACCTCGTGGCATTGAGGTTAGGCACCGAAAGGGTGTCACAGCTGAAAGATTATCCTCTTTCTTAAATTTAGTACCCAAGCGGAGTATGTGATTCGTCTTCGCCACTCAGTTCCTCTGGGAGTCAACACCACAAACTGACAAAGATGGGACCCTGAGGGTTAGATGAAGAATCACGTCGTTTGTACACATAAGGGATGCCTATATGGAGTTGACGAACAACGGACACTTGTCAAGAGACCAATCGGTCAACTGGCATAGAGAACACGTGGCCAATCACCTATTTTTGTCAAGTTGGTTCTTTCAAAAACCAACGTCATCATCAAAGACAGCAACATCAGTGTTGGCACTGATGCTTCATTGCCGTACAACCATAAGGTTCGTCTAGTTATATATACGAAATAGAGTGGATGGGGGAGGGAACCTAGTGCTGGCCTATGTCAAGCATACTGAGGTACCTACACCTCCAACCGCTCAATCAGACAATCTGGAAAGAAACTGACAGCACGAACGCCACTGACATCGACTAGCCGCCACTTCTTGCAACGTCTCCAGCCAAGCCAGAAGTATTTCAGCATTACTGATCGGTGTTTCCGCCAGACTAGGGAAACGCTCCGAAGGTATCGATGGTGAACCACTGGAAGTGTTTTGGCGCCTTCAGTGAGAAGCGGCAAGGTTTCTGATCCGTATTATATTATATAGAGTTGTAAACTCCACCCTTGACGGATAGGCTCATGTCACGCCTACGCCACAGTTGATGCAGGTTCGCGAAAGTGGCCGACCTTCCCAATCCTGATGGAGGTATCATCTTCTGCTAGATCACCAGGACTGATAAAACTACCCAGGTTAACAGATTGGTCTAATACCTCAATCGGTTCATCAACAAGAGTCAGATTCGGGTTCAAACCCACTAAGTTTTGCAGCAGCAATTTACACTTTGCAGGTGTGAAGCGCATGCCGAACCGCTAGGCAGAATTACTTAGACTATTTAATACTGTTTGCATTACCATGTCGTCAAACCCAAGAATAACTACGTCGTCTGCGTACTCAATATATGTGAACGAATGCCCTGGGAACAGTTCAACTCCACAGGTGTCAGAAGCTGGTGGTGAGTCTTCCGTAGCCATATCAATGACGAAGCTGAAGAAGAAAGGTGAAAACAGCCTTGCCTGACACCACTTGATGTGGTGATCTCAGGTGACAGCTGTCACAGACCTTCACGCGTTCGCGGGAGTTAACGTACAGTGCCTTAAGGGGAGCTAAGAATTTAGGAGAAACACCTTTGCTTCATACACACCATCATAGTACCTGACGATCCACAGAGTCACAGAGTCAAAGGCAGATTCCAAGTCAAGGAAGACAACCACTGTTGGTTTCTGGAAGCAGTGTCACTGCTCCAGAATCTGTCACAAGCTGAGAATGCGATCGATTCATCCGCTTTCAGGACGGAACCCAGCTTGTTTTTCACAGAGATTCATCCAGTTTCAGGACGGAACCCAGCTTGGTTTTCACAGACTTGTCTTTTTGTGTTCAGCTAACCTATGAAAAATAAGACCACAGAGCGCCTTCGATACCACAGCTACCGAACTGATGCCACGGTAGTGTCTAGGCTTGGGCAACCTAGCATTATCCCAGTCCTCGTGCTCCCGAGTGGCATGACAGCTAGGCACCAAAAGGGTACTACAGCGGAACAGTATCCGCGTACTGTCTTTGAAGAGAAGGATAACTGTCAACGTGATCCATTCTGCAATCCTGTTTTCTTCTTCGCTCCACAAAGCATCAATAAGATTGGTCATATCCGTAACCAGGAATCCTCCACCTTCTTTGAAGAGGTATGGATTCACACTGTGTGGTCCGGGTAACTTTTCACTTCTCAACGGAGGTGTTTAGTATCTCATTTCTTCTTCTAGTGGGGAGTTATTGTGCACAATCCAGAGAGCGTTAAACGCCGCTAGGATGGCTCCTTTAACATCTTCCCATGCTGGAGTGCTTTGCACCTTGAAGGCTAAAAGTCACGCTTGAGAACATGCCATCTGCAAACATATCCCTTACAATTCAAGGAGAACCACTGGAGATTGTGGAAAACTTTACATACCTCGGTAGTTCTATTAGCTCTGACGGAAGCATGTCTGATGAAGTCAGCGCAAGAATCTCAGAGGCTCGAATCACGTTTGCTAATTTGCGTCACTTGTGGTGTTAAAAAGCACCTCACTAGATCTTAAAGGTCGTGTGTACCAGGCTACAGTAAGGGCTGTGTTGTTGTATGGGTGCGAGACATGGCCTCTGCGGACAGATATGAGACGTCTTCAGGTTTTCGACCACGGATGCCTCAGAAGCGTGGCTGGTTTTGGATGGCATCAGAATGTTAGTAACGAGGTGATTAGAAAACGGGCATTTGGTTGTGATGCAGGTACTTCAATCCGATAAAACATTCAGCATCACCGACTACGATGGCTCGGTCATGTGCCATGCATGCCGAAACACTGTCTACCAAGACGAGTGTTGTTCTCTGTGGCTCCTTCAGGATGGCACAAACCATGAAATGGGCAGCGCCTGACTTGGCAGAAAGGCGTGAAAGAGATCACGAAGAGTTTGGGTGTTGTACTCCTTCCAGGATGGGGTCCCTATGCTTGTCCTGTCTGTGCTTGGCTGAAGACATTGCAAGAGCTGGCGGCTAATCGATGTCAGTGCAGTTAGTTTCTTTCCAGATTGTCTGATTGAGTGGTTGGAGGTGTAAGCACCTCAGAATGCTTGACATAGGCCAGCACTAGGTCCCCTCCCTCGCCCACTCTTTTTCTCTTCACTCTAGGGCTTTTAGTATAATCATATGTATGTATATATAACTAGACGAACCATTATGGTTGTACGGCAATGAATCATCAGTGCCAACTCTTTGATGATGATGATGATGATCTCCCATGCTTCCTCCACCTGCTCGCTACCAACACAGAGCTAGCTCAAATTGTTACTGCTGATAGTTCTCCGAAGACGGTACATTGGCATGTTTCTTGCTCAATTGCGAGGGGCTGAACAGGAGGTAATTTGCCAAACGCGCCTGCACATGCCGTGATCAGAATCAAGTTGTGTGCTCCAGAAGTAACGGCATGTTGAATGTGGCTCTCCACCGGTGACTGATTGCCACGTTATCCAACTGGGTCTACGGTTGATTTGCACTCGGGGAAAAGCAGCGAATTAACTGGCCTGTTCAAGTATTACATAGTAAGCTCGCTGTTTTTACTCGGAAAATAAAGGATAGAACGTGAAAAGCACGACTATGTCGGGGAATCAATTTCCGCCCATTTGGTGAGCTTATTTTTTAGGTAGCTCATGGTCCTTTCGAAGGGCGTTTTCCTATTGGACCAATGTGAGGATTACGAAAGGTAATATCACGAACACATGCGACTATCGCAAACCATGCGAGGTATATGAGTGAAAGATAAGAACAACACTGAAAATCATTCAGTCATCCAGCTGTAGCACTCTTTCGGTCTCTAACTGGCATACTACCCGACGGAAAAACGATGGTTGGGATACTGCCAGGTCGCTCGAGCCTAGGTAAAGAAGTTGTAGCACTTGTAAACTGCTCTTTTTCATGCTCAGTATCATCTTCCTTTTCCCCATCATTATCAGTCACATCACTGTACAAAAGTTTGTTTTATTAAAATAGAACCACAACCGCCCGCTTTTTGGGTCCAACGTGACTTTGAGACTTTTGCTGAGCGACTTTTGTTGTGGCCGCCGGTTGGCTATAATTGACTGCTACAAACACTGGACTAATATATTCACACTTGTGGATTAATATTTCGATCACCGGAGATCCGGAATACCAGGAAGATAAAACTTTTCTTGGTGTGGTGGTTCAACGGAATACGGAACTACGGAATCTCCTGTTCTGAACTGTGGGTCGAGATTTACTTGGATTTTTCTCCTTGTGCCTTTGTATCCGGCTTACATTAGCAATTTGTTCTGTTCACTAGAGACTCCATAGGGCCGTTAACCACTACAAAGTCGACGTCCGGTTCAAACCAGGGATTTTCCCGTCAGTAAATTAGCACTCTAACCACTGAGCCATCTCGCCTTCCGCTTGACGACAGATCAACCGACCCCAAGCTTACGACCGACCCGATGGTACTTGTGCTTTCAAAAGCACACCGATGCAACCTACTGCGACTTTAGATTGCAGATTCTACTGAGACGTCGCAGAACCCCGACTACCAACAACAGTGACGCTCGGAGTGAGACAAGCTTCGCGAGGACATGGCATCCAACATATGCAAAATTATCGTCAACCATTTCCTTGGCGGACGATAAAGACGCAGCGGTGAAGTCCACATCCTAGTCACAGGTTCTAAGCTGGATTTCGTAAGCTATGTAGAAACAAGGAGCGAAGTGCACCGACATATCAGCTACAGGCGTTGACCTGGACGTTGGGGGCTGCTACGGCAGCCCCACAACCACTGAAAATGCGTAAACGCCAGCCTCCAGCTCCACTTCGTCAAAAGTGGCTCGTCGTCACTCATGACCCCGTTAGCCAAAGCCACAAGTCCGACACCATTGTACCGTAAAATCCTAAGTACAAATTGACCATACTGATCGCGGACGTCCTGGGGGCCCACACAAACACAAAAGGAAAGCGACTGTGATTAAATAGGCCACACAAACATCGCCCGATCGAAATGGATTTAAGATGCAGTCTAGTAAGGTCTAGGAAGCATCAGGGGAGGATGCAGACAGGAATGCTGCAGAGGCCTCTTCGGAAACCTTGCACTCAAACTGGAGTAGAACCATTAAACCTCCTAACCTCTCTTGTGGTGCACCTCTCTGCTCCCCACCTTCGGACGCAGCAGAGGTAGTGTTGGGACTTGACAACAAACTGCTTCAGTCTTTTCAACAAACTTCGGGATATTCAACAGTCGGATTGTCTCGAACAATCATCCATAACTGCGCTTACAGAAACCTGCTTCACATCAGACATCTCTGACGCGGATATCTCAATATACGGCTACTCAACTTTCCGAGCTGACTGGAAACGCGGGTGGGTGAGGTTGCGCTAAACTTAAATGCAACCCTGTCCACCCAGATAGTCCTCTCCTACACCGCTCCTGAAACTCACCGTGATGCACTGTGCGTGGTGCCGTTTATCTTCTCAATTCAAATCAATTTATCAGCTATACACCGTGCGCCATTGTTGGGGATGTCAACCATATCAACCATATACAACAGTTTCCATCACCGGACAGGGTGGGACATACAACCAAGTTTTAGAGGCGATGGCACATCTAGTTAGTTCATGAACTCGGTCGCTACGCTTTGAAGGCAATAGCCTTGATGAATGAGCACCGTTGGCTGCGCGATCGGGTCGATTCTGCATGTGTCATTAACCATAAGTGAGTTGAGTCCCGGTGTCCTCAGTTGGAGAGGCGGCAGTTGCCGACCCGACTAAGCTTACACGTCAGTGTTTTCGTGATTTATTACCAGGACATACACTGTTCATCCGACAGTCGCTTTCACTCAGTACTTCCTTGCCATCTGATGTATCCCCGCATTGCTAATCTGATGGTCCCACCGGACTCGACAGCGATGGTCAAATACTGACATCTTCCGTATGTCCTCTACACATAAGGGTCACTTTTCGGATCCATAAAGCAGTATGGATAGCACCATCGCAGTGTACACTCTGCCTTGACAGGCAAACGTGGATGTCACATTGGCATCATAGTTGTCAGAAGTTGGTGAAGAGTGACCTGGCCTTTCCGATTCGAGATTTCTATCTCATCTCCAGTCAGTTCACCAGGACTTTTACAGCTGCCCACGTCGATTGGCTCGCCTGCAAGCATGAGGTGTGGGTTTGATCCCACCCAGTCTTATAGCAGTACTTTACACTTTGCAGGTGTAAAGCTCATGCCAAGCCGTGCGGCAGAGTTATTTAGGTTATTTGAAATCGTCTGCATTTGGGAAGGATCTGAACCAAGGAAAGCACTATCGTTTGCATACTCAATGCCTGTGAAGGAACGTCCTGGGAGCATTAAGACTCCCGAGGTTTCAGAGGAATAGAACTTTCAAGCAGCATACCAATAACAAAGTTGAAGAGGAAAGGTGAAAGAGGACAGCCTTATCTTGCACTACTGACCTGGTGAGCTCAGGCGAAAGCTTTCCGTATACTAGTAGCCGTTCACGGGAGTTCGCAACAGTGCCCTCATATGGGATACAAATTTGCAAGGGACACCTTCAATCGCTAGACACTGCCAAGAAATCGTTCAGCGCACTTTCAGTGCCAAACCGCCATGCCACCCGAAGGAAGCACGAATGCTGGGATACTGCCAGGGTGCCCAAGCCTAGACAGGGGAGGTCGAGAGGCAGAGGTCAGGTTCGAACCACGGATATTCCGATCAGTAAATTCGCGCTCTTACCACTGGGCCATCTCTGACAGTTTCTGATGATCGACAAACTCAAAAGCAGCTTTCAACCCAAGAAGAATGACCAACGTGAAACGTTTGAAGGAGTGGCGCTATTCAAGGATTTGTCTCAAGGTAAAGATATGGTCGACACATCCTCGACCAGGGTGAAGCCCAGCTTGATTCTCACGAATCTGTCCCTCCTGATAATCTATCAACCTGCGCAAAATAATACCAGAGAGTATCATGGATGCGGCGGATACCAGGCTGATACCACGATGGTTTTCACATGACGTTCTTGTGCCTTTTCTTGAAGACTGGGATGCCGGTCGTTGAGGTCCATCGGTTAGCATTCTCTTTTCGTTCCAAATCTTCTGCAGCCTGGTTGTCAGGACCTCAAACCTTTGAAGAAAGCAGGGTGAAGACCATCGGGACCAGGTGCCTTGTCATGCTAATTCTGGTTGTTGATGGCGGGTTTGTGTCAATGTTCCATTTCGTCCAGCTCGGTTCTTCCAGCGATTGTGTTGAAGGAGACACAGTGAACTGTTCTTTGAAGTGCTCAGTTCACAGCTGAAGAGGACGACTGAGGGAGTGAATTGCCCTTCCGTCGTTTTCGAATACTGTTTCACTAACACCTGCTTTCTTTTGACCGGTTGATCGAATCAGCTGAAATAGGGCGTTGATCTTAATTGAACAAGACAACCGCCACTATAGCCCACAGGATCAGTACAGCACTGAAGTCCGACCACCACGCCAAGGCGATTCTCTCCTTCCGGACGTGGTCTACCGTTGCCCGTTAAATCTACCGGAAGGTTACCTGTCCTTATACATACATTTATGCAACCGTCCCTCAGCTGCCGTTAAACGAATCTCTTGCTGGTAGGTGATTTCAACATGTCTGGAGGACATTTTGCATAGGCACTGACCGAGGTCGTTCAACACAACGCCTGAACGGAATATGTCGCACCCACCAGATACTGCGCGGGCCAATTACTATCCTTGCTAGGTTTGGTTGTCGAACGGAAAACACTTCGTTGATCGAGTATTAGTTAAGGCTCCAGTGGGAGATGATCATTGCGTAGTGACCCTCGATTTCGTCTGCTACCGGGCCAGGAACCCAGAACCCCTCAAGGATGGATTCAAAACTTCTGCCATGCAGACTTCTCAGAAATCCATAGCTTCCATGACCGATTTAAGCTAGGAACAGATTTAATGGAGGAGTTGTGGGGCAGAAAATTTACGAGGATGACGCGGTGTTCGTCCCAGGGAACGATGGACCGGAAGCTACCCAAAAGGTGGCTTCTGGAAACGCCAGAAAATTTACGAGGATGACGGGGTGTTCGTCCCAGGGAACGATGGACCGAAAGCTACCCAAAAGGTGGCTTCTGGAAACGATATCCCAGCTATTCTTCCAAAAGACAACCACAAGAGACAGAACAGAGAGAAGATAGTGGCATTTCGTAAGGTGTGGAACCGCTGTAAATCATAAATAAGCGAATGGGACAACAGACCAGGATACTAGATCTCGCTCGGAAATAAGATGTACCATTTAAGTATGAGACGCTGCCGAAGAGCCAACGCCCTTACCTTGAGGGACAGAACGCACGAGTGACCTAAGAGTGGTACCTGAAAACTACAGGGAACACTATCTCGGCATCTATTCAGAATGGGATACCCAGTAAACACAGTGCCACCGGTGGCATGGCGTGTTTACTGGGTATGTACGATTTGACGCTTACCAAGTGAATAAGTTAATTTAACTCCAAAAAACCTATCCAAGTATCGTAAATTGTTTTCCATCGACCCATCTTTGTTCCCCCAACCTACCCACATCACCCACACCGATTTCTTCAATGTACTGTTGGCAGTATGTCGACATACTGCACAAATGTCGATCGACATTTGTGCTTCCGATTATCTGGAGGCATATCTAACTTCATTGCCGAGACTTCCGCACTTTCAGCTGCTTTCACCTTGGTTAACCACGGTTTATATCGTCAGCGAAACGAGCAGTGCCCCATGAGGATGCGTGTTAACTAACCGAAGCGTGGAAAGGGAAATCGCTTCAACTACAAGGGAAACTGAAGCAAATGATTGGCTGGCCCGAGTCACGTGATCCATTTCATGGATTCCGCAGGGAGAACCGGTTCCGCACAACCCAAATTCGATTCACGGATTAATACACAGGATCAAGGCTTCTGCCCAAGTTTCCCGGGTCGCTTTTGTTCTTGTCGGTCAGTGGCTGTCGTTCACCTGAAAGGCACAAGTGAAAAAAGGCGCAGCACTGCTCTTTATGTTCTCAGCGCGGGGCAGTATGCTTGCCAGCGCGAGGATTCGCATAAATAAATGTCTAACAGTGCCTTGAACTGGGTTCTAGAAGGAGCGCGGACAACAGTCAGAGGAAGGTTATTCCACGCACCTACTACCCGAAATGAGAAAAAATTTTGTCTAGTGAATGTGTGTGCTCTGAGCTTGAAAATTTTCTCGCCATGTCACCCCGTGTGTTTGCTGGATCAACGGTGAAAGACCTATTTGCCAAGCTTTGTTCAAACAGGGCGCAAGTAAGAATTAGGTCCCCTCGGAGACGACGGTACTCCAGGGGAAAGAGATCAAGCATCGCGAGACGCGTTTCGTAGTCCACGGATTTGAGGCCGGCAACCATTCTCGTAGCGGCCCGCTGGACACACTCAATGAGG